CCCTTTTTATGTGAATACTCCCATTCTCGATTAACGATTCGAAAAGCAATATCCTGTTTATGAATAAATAAATAAGATTATATTAATCAAAATAGTTCAAAATTTTTTTTATTTATACAAATACATTACCTCATAAGGAGGACCAGCAACGAAACGTATTAATACAGTATCATTGTTGCCGGGTTCTCTTTCAATTTTATATGTAGGTGCTTTAGTTTTGTCAATCAAATCCGGATAAAATATGTTGAATTTATACCCTTGTACAACTTTTGGTGGAGGGTTATCGCTATCATAATGCGTTTGATTGTATTTATTCCATTCGTATCCTGTGTGGACGCGATTGAAATATCGAGGTTTACGTGGTCGGTATTTATCTTGCCACAAATATGTCTATCCAATATAATACATATGCATTAATTTACATACATACACTTTAATAGCCAGACCTCCCAAACTTTTGACAATGTGCATTTAGAGAACAATAAAAAACTAAAATTATGGGTGTCGATATATATTTGGGCTAGAGTTTGAGACCGCATTTAAAGAGATGCTGCACTTAAGTGCTGTATTTAGGAGGGTCTGACTGTAATATTGAAAAACAAATTAATCAACTACTTACAGTTTTAGCCAATTCTTCTTCTATATTAAATATTGCTTCATCTTCATCCAGTTCCTTAGCAGCCTCCCGTTCATACAATGCCTTCGAAACCTATAACAATATTAGATTCTTGAAATTGTATACTATTGAATAGTACAAAATACTAAGGCTACATACCACAGACTCTTCCTCTTCTTCAACTGTCTGTTTTTTTGGTTGAACTTTCATGGGTATAAACTGGTTACGTAATACTTCTTTACGTCTTTCTTTCTATTTAATTTATAAATATTGAGTGTTATTGTCCTTTAAAATCGAAACTTTAAATAATAGCAGTAAAGTCCATTCATACCAATGCTTTTAAATCTTCATCTGGGTCAATAATTTCATACTGTTTATCTTCTTTGGGCAATCTTGATAACGGTCGAGGACTCATAGATCTATCATATTCTCCAATCGTATAATCAGAGATATCTTCTTCAATCATTATTTCTTGCCCTTCAGATTCTATTTGAATATGATGAGCATGTGATGCAAGGGCAGATTCCAACTCTTCTTGCACTTTAATAGCTTCTTGCCTTTGCTTTCTGCGGAGTTGTTCTAATCTTTTTCGCAATACAATTTCATGCATTGCTTTCAACTTAGCCTTATTATTGATAAATTATATAGTTTAATTTTAATTAACCAATATAACAATATAAAATATTAATTACATATAAAAAACGTTATTTAATTAATACTTTTGATTTCCAAACTGTCAATGCCTTCAACTGTTGTTCCCAAAATTCTACTTCTACAGCTTCTTTTCCCGATAGTTTTTGTTGAATTTGAGCTTGTAATACATTCAGCTGCTCATAAGTCTTTCCAAAAAATAAATTATTAATGTCATCTTTTACGGGTGCTATAATATTCATAGCATGGTTCTTTTCATCCTCTTGAAGTTCAGAAAGTTTATCCTCACACACTACAATCATTGCCTGATAGATATTAATAAATATATATATGCATATATTATTAATATAATAAAATTAGGATATTTTATAAAAATTTTTCATACCCTCCAGAAATCAAGATTATTTGGATTTCTTTCAAGGCTCAAATATTTTTGGATGTCATGATGTAACTCTTCAACTTCTGGTAGAGTGAGATTCTGATTAATCAAGTATTAAAGATTGTCAATTAAAATGAAATAATAATAAAGCCGAATTATTATTGATACATAATATTCATACTTCAAATATAGTATATGGTTCATCCATATCAATCTCCAGTGCATCATCAACAACTTCGGATTCATCAGCCAACCGCAAATTGATAGCAAGAATATCAACTGGTTTTGCTCGATTTTCTTTGATTCTAATTTCCGCTCGGCGTTTTGCTTGTTCAAGATGGAACTTGTAAAAATTTTTAGATAAATTTTATGTACTAAAGTAAGGTAGTAATAACAAACATAAATGCTTAAAGTAAAGTAGTGATAACAAATATAAATGCTTACCTCGTCTTCCTTTGACGCCCAATCACCCATTGCAGCGATTTCGGCATCACGCTGCATCCGAGCCTGCGTATTCAAAATGGCAGAGTATAAATATCAAATTATCACAATTATAATGCAAACACATAGATATATATATATTAAGATATATACAAGTTCCTCTTCACGTAACTGCCGTTCTATTTCACGTTCAGCCCTTCTTTTATTTAATTTTTCAAGTTCAAGCTTTTATATAAAGTGATAGTATAAAATTACAGTTGTTAAAAATATGTAAAGTTCAAATAATTAAGATTTTAATTGCTACCATACCTGTGTTTCTTCCCGTCGTTCTTTTTCTCTACGCAGAGCTTCTTCTGGTGATATTCCCAACTTCTTATCACGTTCTTTTTTCTTAGTCCATTCAAATTTTATGCCAAGATTAGCATCACCAAAAGGATTATCTGTATTCGAATACGCTGATAATTCAATGTATGATAATTTGTCTTTATGTCGATCTCGATCCTATATATTCAAAAAGTAAGAAAGACTATTAATATAAAATTATTTTTGCAAGATACTCGTGCATCTATGTTTCGTACCTTTTTATCTTTTTTCGATTTTTTAGATTTCTCGGACTTCCTTTTGCCATTACTATCGCTATCTTCAGACGAATAAGATTTACGTTTTGACTTTTTTTTATGTTCTTTTTCTTTTCCTTTTTCACTCAAGTGATCATTCATTTTTTAAGATCTATCTAATAATATTTAGCGATCTGCTTGTAAGATTATTTTAAGTGCGTAGTCGTAGAAAGACATTCTTCTGATTGGCCGATCTATGTCGATCCAAACGTGATGCAAATCGTAATTGTATAAAACAGAAATACAGCATTTTGTAAAATCAGCATCAACTAAGGATTTTCTAAATCCTTGATCTCGTACATTTTATTTTTTAAACTATACCAAAATTACGTTTTGACTAATTCTGAATTATTTTTTTAAAATAAACATTGAATTGGCGATATTGATATAATACCGAAAGGTATAATAAAGATAACCGAAAAGTATTTTATTTGTGTCCGAAAGGTATCCGATTTCTGCCAAATTTCTGATTAATATCGGGTATACTTCGTATAGACATATCTGTATAATATCGCAGCACTTTCGGATAACTTTCATTTAATATCGGCATGGTGAAATTCCTCCGATATAGCTTCATTCGACCAGTATTAAAATTAGAAACTTTGATTTAAAAATATAAATTCTACCAAAAACTACTTAAAATTGTTAAAACTAACCCTAAATCTTAAGCTAACTATAAAAAAAGACCAAAAAAATATACTTTAAAATTTTTTAAAAATTTCATATTAAAGTATTTAAAATTTCAAGTTTTAGTCATGTTAAGTTTTAGCTATAACAATATATATTATAAAAAACTATTTTGATATTTTTGATATAAAACTGCTAAAATAACTCTACAGTTTTATATTAATTTTTTACTTCAGTGATCCTACCTTTATTTTATTTATCAGAAGTAGATTATAAAAATACCTCAGCTAGCTAGGTTTACATGCAAATCTCTAAACTACTATATTCCTGTACAAATAAAGATTCTCTTGATCTGTCTCATTATCGCAGTAAAAATCACGGCCGAAGTCTAGAGTTTTTACACTAGAGTATGACCCAGGAGCAACCTGCCTAAGTGACAATTTTCCTCCTTCCGGGATCCTCAACTTACTGAGGATATGAGCCCTGGACATCAACAGATGGAAGTACTGACCTTGTCAGAATCACCACTCTATAATAGAGTGTCACCAATCTGATGACACTTTCTTATAGAGAAGTAAAAAAGAAAAAAAAGGGGTAAGGACAAAATGAAAATGGAGAAAATAAAAAAAAGAAAACAAATAAGAAAATGACCAAAATATAAAGGAATCTAAAAAAACTATTCCAAAATCTAAGAGAACTTGTCTACAGATATAAAAACCTGCTAACCAGATAAAAAACTATCTACATGGTCATAAAAATCTATACATAGAGCTATCTGACAAAAAGAAAACTAAGAACTACAATACACTTTAACCTGTGCCAAGGGCTAAAAATTATATGCATATGACTTCAAAATATTGCATATCTCTAATACAGTATATCGTTCCAGTTTACAACTCTCATGAAATCTATCTCGAATCTTAAAACGCCGATTTTAAAGCCTCAACACATGATCGTTAATTCTATTTATACTGAGCCGCTCTTTCCGGATTATGAAATCCTCTAACAGTCTTCAACGTCTTGCTTCTTCATTATACGATATTAAACAGGGGTCTTCCCTATGGTTTATCGGCATTATTGGAAGCTACTCCCTTGGGTCCGTCGTATAGGGCCTTCATTCCTGTACAGTCATAGCTAATCTAGAAGACAGAAAAAAGGCTTGACCCCTTTGCAAACCGTCTAAAACACCCGCTCCTCAGTATATCATATTTAAGACTTTGTCGACAACAGTTCATAGTAAGAAAACTTTAAGTTATTTGTTTACTTCTGGTCTTGAGTCTTCAACTTGCTTTCGGAGACTAGTTGATACAAGTGATCGTTAGGGGGAGTTTTGCTCTGTATTACAGTTTTATATTAAAATTAATACCAATATAAGTTTTTGCAATATATATATTTCTATACTTCTGATTCAGATTATATTCTAATTATAAAAT